GGGTCCTCTCTCCGAGCGCAGAACGACCCCGGTTTAAAAATAAAAAATAAAAAATAAAAAAATTCTGGCCGTTTTTTTGGCCCGCCCAATTTACCCGGGCGGCCCCCCGGGTCCAACCGGCCGGGCGGCGTCTTCACTCAGGTGTGAACACTGAATAGTCTATGTCAGAGGATGCTGAACCCGTTTTTCATCCCTCGTAAGCACACGCATCGCTGCCGGTCAATCAATGGCTCCACATGAGCAGGAAACATACGGACCCTGACAGCTCTGAGCTTTGGAGGCTATGCACAGACAGCATCCCGGAAGATATACCCCACTGCCTAGCAGCATGGATACGGAACAAGGTGCACGGCCTATGGTCCCTCCTCTTCTCATCACCCCCTCCGCCCACAACTCCCCTGAACATCCTGCTCATTTCCAACAATACTAACAATCTCAAAGCGGCAAGGAGGTATGGTTTCACCTGCTCAGGAAGCTGGCTCTATGGGTAATCTGGAAAAGGAGATGCACCAACACGATCGGAGCAACTGAGGTGGCAAGAGAAGAATTGCGGGTACTTTTTCTGGGAATTGCCGAAACTGAGATTCGATCCAGACGGAGGGAGGTGACATCAGCAACGAAAGGCAGACCAGAAAGAATAGCCATCAGGAGATGGATCTTCATGAGAAGCTGGCTTCTTCAGGGAAAAATTGCAACTGTGACAGATAACAGATTGATTTGGAAGAAATGGCACAGCACACCTCCAACAAGGACGGTGCACCAGTGATGGGCAAACTGAGATTTTCATCTCAACAGTATAGACAACTCTCCTCTTTTCTTGCTTTACACAAATCATCCGACAGAGTCGCAATAAATTCTGAGAGGAAAAGTGGCAGGCCAAGCTGACAGTCAATCCTCCGGATAGGGAGCAATCAATGCTGGTCAGTTTTCCTTCAGCCGGACGGAAGAAAGCGTGAGAGTGTTCAGCATGTATCTCAATTTTTGACTTGCCAGTGGAAAGGAACCGGACTGACACTCCCCACAATGGATATAGAGCCACGACCATAAGGACCTGTTTTAACAAAAAAAAAAAAAAAAAAAAAA